ACTCACTTCAGCCTGGGAGTACAGGTGTGCCCCACCTCTGGCTTACAAGTGGTTTCCCCATTCAGTTCCACTGGGAGTATCGTAGAGGTACGAGACGGGGTTTGGGTGGTACCACCTCCTTTGGGTGCTCAGAGGGGACAGACAATGGAGCAAATTGCCCTCAGTTACTGCAGTGCAAACCCAGAGTCTCCAGTGGACCATGTCCCAGTGCACATCAGCGCTCCAGGCAGACCGTGGCCCTGTCATAACTTACAGCAAACTCAATCAGATTTCAAGTTCAAGAGAAGGAACTGAACCTATCTTTTCCAGCTAGCTTTCTCAACAGAAGCGGCAGTGAAAACGTCGTTTGGCCTGTGCTGAGGCACAGAGAGAGCTGGGAGCCGACCGGCTGCCCCTCCTTGGCAAAGGGGGCATCCGCGCAAGCTGTCGGCGAGGCCTCACCCTGTGCACGTGTGTAGTTGCCAGGAGTCTTTTGTGAATGTGCAACTCAAACTCACCCGTGAAACTGAGCACAGCAGAACTTTGTCAAGGGGAGCAGCCAGGGAAACTCCAGGTAAAGAGCTTCAAAAAACTCAACCTCGCTGGAACCAGTTCAAACAACTGACTCAAACTTGGAGAGGCCCAAAACACTTATATTCTGGAGAGATTTTTGGGCAGACTAAGAGGTACTATGGCATACCATCACCACCACGAAGAAAAGGGCAGCGGCGCCAAGGTGGATCCTAATTCTACTTTGCTTGGATCTTTGGGATAAATTGCCAGAGAACCTTTAACGTTGAGCAGCAGAGACTCTCTCCTCTCCTACCTCCTCCAGGGGCTGTAGGGCTGCGAGAGCCTGCACAGCCTAGAAGCCGTTTAGCGGTGCCTTCCTCGCACTCTGCGCGACCACGCAGTTCCTCTCGCGCAGGTGGATCTTCTCATGCTGGAGGAGGTGCTGCTTCTGGGTGAAGCGCTTTGGGCACTCATTGCATTGGTACGGCCTCTCCCCTGTGTGGATCCTCTGATGCCGGATCAGATTGGAGGGGTGGCTGAAGGTCTTCCCGCAGTATGAGCACCAGAGGACCCCTCCGCTCCGGCCTGAGTGCATACGCCGGTGGATGATGAGGGTTTTCTTTTGGGAGAAGCACTCTTGACACTTGTCACACTTGTAAGGCCTCCCCCGCGGGTGGCCCCTCTGACTTGGCTTGTAGCTGCTGTTGGTGTTGACGCTTTTCACGCACCTGGGATTGCCATACACCTTCTCCGTGGCCGAGACTCTGGCATGGGCTTTTGCATTCTGGTTCTGCTTGAACCTCTCCGTGGCCACATGTGTCCCATCTTCCACATGGGTCCTGTCTTCCATGTGGGTCCACCGGTGCTGCTGATGGAGGAAGCCTTCCTCGTCTCCAGTGTGCTCACTGCTGCACTGTGTGCTGTGGCTCTCCTGGTGAATCATCAGCATCTTCTTCAGACAGAAGCCCTTCCCACATGCAGTACATGAGTGAGCTCTCTTGTTGGGACAGTTTTGCCCATAGAAGGTGACAGCGTTGCTTTCACCGAGACCCCCTTCCCCTGGAGTGGATGGCACCAGCCTGCTCATGCTCTGGTTTCCCTGCTGCACAGGAGAGCTGTACTGACTATCAACGGGCAGCGCCTCGCTGGGACCCTGGAAAAGCAGCTCCTCCGACTCCCTGGTTAAAGTCACATGGGGCTCCGAGCTTTGGGGACATTCCTCAGAGTCCAGCTGCTCTATTTTGAACGTTATCACCTCCTCTGCTGGAACTGACAAGAACAACAAAGGGGACATTCACTGGTGTGAGACACAAGATGTCTCTGAAATGATGCTTCTGAAATCCCCCTGGCTCCTTCCCCCACCACCCATGAATCAAACAGGCTCATCTTACACAGGGAGCGTGAAAGGCAGCTGTGCTCAGCGCACCAGCGAGCTGAAAGACCGAAAGAGAGAATTCAAGTGGAAAGCACAGGGATGCTTCCCTTTCAGCTGTCTGAGCAGCGAGTGTGAGAAGCCGTGAGGGAGGGGGCAGGGGGAATTGCTGCCTTCCAAGATAGCAGAGTTCAGCAGTTTCCAAAATAATCTTGACCCGCCTTCCTTCTTCTCCTAAGTGCTAAGATCTCATGGACCTGGGGCAGCCCCTTGCTTCCCTCATCAGCACATCTGCCTCCCTCCCCACACCAATGACTCTGTATTTCTCACTCTTCAGGGCGCACCAGCTCATTCCAGGAGATCCACCTTCCCTCCACTCCCAGGACGTGGTGACCCACCTGTGCAGCCCCCTTCCTGAAAGGGGACACACAAGCACGGGCTGATTTTGACTTGTGACATGCTGCTACCGCTTAGGATACGTGTGTAATGAGGAAGCCTCGTCTGTAGTACTCACCGAGGCAGTACAAGAACATTTTCTCTCAGGGTTCATGGCTTTTCATCTCCGAGCTACGTGCCTGGGGTTTTCTATTCATGCTTAACCCGTCTCAAAGTTTCTCTTGACTCTCATTCCTACCCGGACACTTAATTTCACATGACCTGGATATGAATAGGACCCGTGGGAGGAGATCCAACCAAAGGTCGAGGATGGACACTGCCAACACACAACCATTTTGAAAGGTGCTGACAGTGTGAGGGCAGAATCTAAACTAGGATTGGTGTCCTGCCTGGAGAGTGTCACTCCCTAGTTCACTAGTGCTGTGCAGTGACTGACAGCGGAGAGGTGAGAACATGCAGAAGCTACACGAGGGGCATGAGAAAAAGCATCAAAGATTTAGTCACAGCAGGGCAAATACCATCAAAAACTGAGCAAGCCCCACTGACATCTCTGATGTGGCACAAGCAGAATAAACAGAGACCAGGACTGAGCGTGAGGACATGACTGGTGAGCTGGGGACAGTCTATTAATCAAGCAAATATTACGTCGCTACTGGGAATAGCAGAGCCATCCCAGCTCACCAGTGACTCCCCTAGCCTCTAGGTAGCTGTGGAAGCCCTGCTCTGGAGCACAGCTCCCTCTTCTGAGGATGCAGCTGCCAAGCAGAAGAAATTCCAGGAGAAGAGCAGCAGATGGTCTCTGGAGGATGCCAGACGGGACCCACAAGAGGGAGCGGAACGTTCTGGGATGGGTGCTGAGAAGCCCAGGGGCTGCAGGGGAGAACTGTGCTCTGCAGCAGCCGCGGCCTTACCGAACGCTGGGGACAGCCTCCCTGCAGCGGGGTGGGAGCCAGAGGTGACAATCCATCTGGGAGTCTGCCCAAACCACTTCTACGCCCGCTTTGCTGTCAGCCTTTGCCATGCCCTGTGGCAGTCGGTTCTACGGCTTGCGCACACACGATAACAGACTTTGCCCTGCTTGGTTTAAAGCAAACGCCTACTCATTTCACCAGGTGGTCCCTGGATCTCAGACAGCGAGAAAAAGTGAAGGTTCATTCCTTCAGCTCCTGCTGTGCACCGCTCACCCAGGCACAGACCCGTGTTGTATCCCCCTCTGCCATGCCTTCCTCAGCCTGAGGAGTCTGATGCGGAAGCTCTCTACCTCACTGCTCTGCTCTGGACCGTGTCCCTGACTACTACCTGCCTTTCAAGACTGAGAGAGCAGAACTCCACTCAGTTCCCCAGATACTTTGGCATAACACCATCTTTCAAGAAGACCTCGAGAATTGCTCTCGACTTCGTTCCTAATGATTCCTTGTATTCTGTTTGATTTATTTCAGGGATGCCTGTCTCTTCACCTCCAGTATCTGGTCTACCCGGCACTTTAATCCTCCTACCAGTAAAACCACTCCTACCCACTTTCCTAACCTCAGCGCGGCTCTTGCTCTTCCCCGGCTGCCGTGCCTGACTCTCCTCAGTTCCCACACTGTCCCACAGCAGGAACGTCAGGGACTCCCTGCACCTCCAGCTGCGCAGCACACTCCGAGATTCTCAGAACTCACCCACACTGAGCTCGGTAAACTCTGCATCCTCCGTGGCTCCCGGCTCCTCCACACACAGCTCTTCCTCTTGCTTCACAGCGCCCACGAAGCTCGGCTCTGGCATGCCATAGTCTGCTAAGGTAAAGAGGAAACTTCTTTACTGGTTATCACAGCACCGCTCGGCTCTTCCCTCGCTGCACCCGGGAGGTTTGCTGCCAGCTACTCTGCTTTCACATACAACCTCTCTCCAGCATCTCCCGTTCCTACTTCAGGCAGCTTTACTCTGCCCTGCAGTGAAGTGGTTCCCCCCTTGCCCAGCCGTTTCAGGAGTGTGTCCTCCCTGTCCCTGTGTCCAAGCACACCCTTTCGGAACAACACTCACCAGGTCCGGGTTCAGCCAGCATTGTTCTTCCCTCCAGGCCTTCCTCTCCTGTTGGGCACTGTGCTCCTTCTCTGCTGTCCTGGCTGCTCCCATCAAGTCTGAACAGCAGCGACTCTGCTAATGGGAAAGCTCAGACCCGTTACTTTTTCTTTATAGTACCATTACTCCCCCTGAGCCCACTCCTCCCAAGATCTGAGAAGTTCCCTCTGTAGCAAACCAGGACTATCACCTTGTGACGTCCTCTGTCTGGTGACAACAACATGCAAACATTATGCCTGAGAAGAAAGCTGTAATTTATCTCTTGCCTGCACTTGGTTCTGCTGGAACCTCTGAGGCCGCCTTGTCCCCACCGCAGGGAACTTCTCCTCTCTGAAGCACGGACAGGAGGTCAGGTTTGGAGATTGTGTAATCTGTTGAGGAACATAGATGCGAAGGTTTCCATGCTGCATCAAGACGCCCGCTGTGTCCACAGGAAGGAACACACTCTGCTGCCCTCCCAAAACCGGCCCCATTGGCCACAACCCGCCGCCCGGCAGCACGGGGAGCCCTCTGCACGGCCCGCCGGCGGACAGCGGCTTCTGCCT